TTAAGCATCGCCTAAGGTGTACGCATCGATGCTCTAGCCGTTGGTGGAGGCGACGTCGATGCTGGATTCGCTGCTGGCGTCGGTGCGGGTGCAATGCAGGCTGTGCTGGAGGAAATGCTGGCTGCAGTACTGGGGTCGGCGTTCGCGTCGATGGTGGCGTCGCTGCTGGATTCCACGCGGGGGTCAGCGCCAATGTCGTTCACGTGCAAGTTGGCTCTGGTGCCAGAGTCGATGTTTTCTTCGCTGCTGCAAGTCCATGCTGGCGCCGACGCGTTTGTCGCTCCTGGCGTCGATGCTGACGTTGATACTAACAGGCAATGCGCGTGTCGGTGCTGGCGTCGATGCTGGCACTGATACTTGGGTCGACGCTGCCCTCGATGCTGGCGCGGATGCTGGCGTCGATGCGGAGGCATTCGCCGTTGTTGAAGCTGTCGATTGGTGTCGGCGTTAATGCTGGTGTCGGTGCTGACGACGATCATGTCGCCAGGGCTGTTTTCGATGCCGGGGTTGATGCGGGCGCGGGTGCTGGCGTCGATGCTGGCGTTGGCGGTGACGTGGACGCTGGCTCCGTAGCTGGAGTTGGTGCCGTCTTCGATGCAGGCACTGATGCATGGATTGATGCTGGCGTCGGTACTGGCGACGATGGTGGGGGCGGTGCTGGTGTGGGGTGTCGATGCTGACGTGAGTGCTGGAGCCCGTGCTGATGTCAGTGCGTATTTGGATGCTAAGTCGAACGTTGTCTTCGATGCTGGCGTCGATGCTGGCGCTGATGTTTGCGTCAATACTGGATCCTCGCCTGGTCCGACGTCCTGCCCCCCCGTCTCCTCCCCCCCTCGCCGCCGCAGCCGACATCCCGCCGGTCACCCCCGCGACCGCCGCCGTGATGCCCGTCTCTTCCACCGCCTCCGAGTTCCCCCCAACCGCCCCCCCCCCCAACCGCCCCGGCAAACCGCCACCGACGCCGCCTGCCCAACCGCCGCACGCCACCCAATCCTCCGCCGCCGCCGCCGTCACATCCAGGTCCTCGCCCTCGTACCCTGCGTCGTCCTCGTCGTGGGCGTACTCCTGGTCGCACGTGGCGGCCAGGATGAAGGGCGGGAGATGGAGGAAGCAGTGGTGGTTGTACTGCTGGTCGTGATCGTGGTGGCGGTTGTAGTCGCGATTGT